TCTATATAATTGGATCAATATTGAATTTATACCATATGAAATCATTATAAATTATGGTCGAAAAAAAATAGAAGATTTGAAATATTCATTTGAATATCCTGAAAAGCAGGCAGGGGATGACATTCATTCAAGTGAAATGGAGTTGGATAATCAGGTCCCCAATCCACAATATCAAAATCCCCAAATGCCCCCAAATCATTTTAATCATGGTTTTCTTTTAAATTATCCACAAGTAAACCACAATCAAGTATTATATGATTATTTTTCTAACCAACAAATAATCCTATACCAAAACTACTTATCAGAACAATCGCAATCACAAACCCAAAGTAGAACTCAAATCCAATCCCAAACACCAACAACAATACAAACACCTACACAAACTTATCAATTTCGACCACAAGATCAAACACGTACTCATTCACATCAAACACAATATAATGCATATTATCACCCATATCAATTGCAAAGGCAGATACATCCACATAATCAAACTATGCCATATCCTTTTTACCACCAACATATACCAAGAGAAAATAATCGAAATTATCGAAATTTTGGTTTTCATCAAGCTTATGGCAGTAATCTCCAACAATTTCCACTACAGAATCCCCAATTTCAGAACCAATATTATGGTAATCAATCCACTATAAATAATAATAATAATAATAATAGTTTTTTTAATATGGATATGAACTATAATACCAACCTCAATGAAAATAACAACGAGAATAATAATTCTAATGATAATATTAATTATAATAATAATAACAACAACAACAACAACAACAACAACAACAACAACAACAACAAGCAACAACAACAACAACAACAACAACTACAACAACAACAATAACAATAACAACAATAATGGTAATAATATTTAAAATATTTACTTTTTTTTAACACTCAAGTGTTTTTTTAATGAAAAGTAATTTAAAATAAAAATAAAAAATAAAAAATAAAATATAATAAATTTTAAAAAATATAATCTTTATTAAAATTTTTCTATAAAATTACTTTTTTTTCATCTGGATAAAAAGTTATATTTATGTTTTGGGCTTTATATTTGTCATCTAATGGAATTTCTCTGCCAATGTCTTTTAATGTAGTTGGAATATAAGTGCAAACCACTTCAATCGTTGCTTTTGAACCAGGTTTCTGAAAATCCAATACGTCAAACCTACAGGCCATATAGTTCTTGTGGTCTTCATTTTGAGCATTCGTTATTTCATCCATGGTTTTTTTGAAATTTTCTATCGCTTTATTTTTAGTTTCGTTTATTAAATTTTTTTTATTTTTCTTTTGGGAGGTGGTGGAGTTATTATCGATTATATTATCTTTTTTTTCATCGCTTTTGTTATTTTCGAATCCAAATTTACATTCCTTTATTGATGGCATTTGAAATGGTCTACCTATGACTGATTGTATTTTATCTCTTTGTTTTTGAACTTGAATCATTGAAAATTCATAAAAATTGTTGTTTTTTATTGTGTCATATGAAATTTCCCACATTCTAATTAAAAACATTGGTATTACGACGAAATATACTGGACCAAGTGGGAAAAAATAACAAAATATTAAGAATGCTGTTAATGATTTTGATGAGAAAATATTAAGTAATATTCTTTTATTTTTATACAATCCATTTGAGGAATAATATCTATTTAAACTATTATTTTGATTATTATTATTATAATTAAGATTAAAATTATTTCTATACAAATTATTTGTTATATTATTATTATTATTAAATATACTTTTATTCTTATTATTATCATAAGTTATATTGTTATATACATTATTATTATATTTTGAATTAACTTTAAAAGCTTTATTATAATTGTTATTTAAATTTGTTATTTTATTTATATTATAGGAATGAAAGGTTTTTATGTCCTTAAAAATTTTCATTTTATGTATTAATGAATTTGAAAAAAATGTAAATTAAAAAAAAATATTTTTAAAATGAAATTTTTTTTTTATTTTTTTTTTTTATTTTTAAAAAAATGATTTTAAAAAAAAAAATTAATTATGATAAATTATTTATTATTCCCAATTTGACAATAATCAAAATCATCCCTTTATAAACCAAATTAATAAAAAATAAAAAATAAATAATGGTTTTAATTATTTACAAATAATTTTGATTACACTTTATTAACTTTATAATTAATGTTCAACTGCAACATAGTCAACAGAGACATCATATAATAAATTATCACCCCATGTTGTAAATTTAACATCAAAACCGGTTGGTGTAACATTGACAGCATCAACACGCCATCTCATTTGACCATTATCAGTTCTAGCATCAATTTGGGTGGATCCAAGGGCAACGATTGGTACCTTGCCGAATGGTCTATCAAAGTTAACATGACGAAGTGTATCACGAGAGCCATTACCGGAATTAAGAGTTCTATCACCAATTGAAACGTGACCAACTTGTACAAAGTTACTTTCTGCTGGTTTAGTATAAAGCTCCCAACTATTTTAAAAAAAAAAAAAATTATACATATTAGTATAGTTATTTTAAAATTTAATTTAAAATTTGTTTTTTAATTATTTACCGAAGTGAAATGTGGTTATTGAATGTAACTGGATGGATAGCAATAGATCTAGCACGAATTGGTTGTTGGAAAACATGAGTTACAACAGTGTTTCTATCAGTATTTCCATTGAAAACTTGACCATTGTTATATTCAAACCATGAAACATTGTCAAATGTGTATCTAAGTTTATATGAAGAAACCCATTGATCTAAATAAAAATAATTTTAAACAGTTTAAAAATTAATAAATAAAATTTAATTACATTAAATAATTATAAAAAAACTCTAAACATACCAAAATCACCACGGCCTTGGGTTGAAATAGCAACAAATTCGTGTACTACTGGACCACCAGCAATGAGGAATTGGTTCTTATCATTGATTGAGGCAGACCATGATTCTGATCCATCAAATCTATTTGTTTCTTTAGAGTTGGCAAAGTTTAAAATAGAGTTTTTAGCACCATGATCAGCATTAAAGTCAGTTGAACTACGTAAGTTTAATATAGCATTGGCTAAACATGCAACACTACCAGCTGGGACTGAGGCCATTTTAAATTATGTTGATTTGAAGATTTGAAAAAAACTAGATAGTTAAAAAATAAAAAAAAATAAAGATATAGTAATTATTTGTTTATAACAATGATATAAATAAATAAATGATATTAAAATAAATATTTTTGATTTTAAATATTTTTTTATAAACAAAATAAATTAATTTGATTTTAAAAAAAAAAAATTAAAATAAAATATATTAAAAAATAAAAATAAAATAATTTTGTAAGTTTGCAAATCACTTTTCATAATATAATTTTCTTTCTATACACAAACAAAAAAAAAGGTGACCACTGCCATATTATGTAAGTGGTTAATATCCAAAAAAAAAAAAAAAATAAAAAAAAAAACTGAAAAAGGTGTGAGTTAACCACCCATTTATTTTTTTTTTTAAGATTTTTTTTGTTGTGTCTCTGAGATTGCCAAATAAAATAATCTTTTTGGGGGGAGAAAGAATGTTAATATATATAGAAAATGAATTAAATGTAAAGTTTTTAATTATTATTATTATAATTATTTTTTTTATATTTAAAAACTTAATAATATTTTTTTTTTTTTTTAGTAAAATTAGAACCACCAATTTTGCTAACCAATTAATTGTTTTGGTGGTTAAACAGGGTTGTTTAATTAAAATAATTAATAAATGAGATATATACTTAATTGAAATTATTAATTAATTTTATATTTATCTATATTTATTAATTTATTTTTTAAAAAATTATTTTTAAAAAATTCAAAATTATTTATTTTTTTCTTTTTTTTTAATTTTTTTTTTTTTTAATTTTAAATTTTTCATTTTTATTTAATTTTTTTCAACAATAGAATCAATACATACACAAAATCTAAAATGAGTCAAGAAACACCAGTTGAAATCGAATGGGATTCATTGGAAAAATTAAAGAGAAACGATTTACAAAGATTATGTAAAGAATTAAAATTAAATATAAAAGGGACATCAAAAAATTCAGATTTAATCGATGCACTTTTAAATTATAAAAATACATTATCAAATACGAATAATAATAATGATAATAACAATAACAGTAAAAATATTAATGTTGAGCAAAAAGAAACACAACCTAAAATTGTAAACATTGTAGATAATAAACCGCCAAAAAAAAATCAACAAGAAACAAACGAAATGAATGTAGATAAAGAACAAGAACAAGAAATGAAAGAAATTGAAAATCATGGAGAGCATGAAGAACAAGAAGAACAAAAAAAACAAGAACAAAAAGAACAAGAAGAACAAGAAGAACAAGAAAAGAATGAGTCACAAATAAATATTGACACACATAACAACAATAATAATCATAGCAATAATGATATTAATAATGAAGAAAATGATAATGGTAATAATGAAGAAGAAATGATTGGACTAAAGTTTAGAAATTATATACCAAAAGAACCAACATTATTAAAATATAGGGTTGAAAAAGCTACAGTTCCACCAATTGCAGATGAATTAATGTCAAGATTAAAAGTTTTAGAAACAAATCCAGATATTCAAATTTCGTTTATACCTAAAAAAGTAAATTGGGATCTAAAAAGAGATTGTTCAAAGAAATTAATGAAATTAGAGAAACAAACCGAAAAAGCAATTTATCAACTTATAAAGCAAAAACTAGGCAAAGAAGAAATCAATGAATCAAATGTTTATTTATTATCAAAAACAATGGATAAAATTAATAGTCATTAAATAAAACCATTATTTTTTTTGTAAAATCACTTTAACCATATATATAAACCAAATATTTTATTTATAGATCTTTTAGAATAAATATTTATTTGTTTATTTTCCTCTTATATCCTTTTTTCTAGGAAATTATTATTTTAATTATACATCATTTATATGTTTTAAAATTTTTATTTTTTATTTTTTAATTTTTAAAATTAAATTTTTATTTTTTAATTTTTTTTAATTTTTTTTCATTTATCTTATAGTTTATTATATATTATATCATATTATTTTTATAAATGTTTCGCTTAAAAAGATTCATCAATAATAATAGTAGTTCTTTAAATTTATTTAATAATAGTATCCAACATGTAAAATATTCAACCTCTTCATCATCATTTAATAATTTACTATTGAACGACGATGGAAATGAAATTAAAAGCAATAGTAGCTACTCAAGTTTATTTTTAACAAATAAAGGAAAAAACACAGATTTTAAATTAAATGACCAATTTATTGAAGAGTACAGAAAAAAGAAAGCAAAATTTGGTTTTGGTATATTGGGTGAAATTGTTTATCGTAGAACCTATTCAAGAGTAAAGCCAGATACAAATACAAATGAAAAATGGTATGAAACAGTTGAGCGTGTAGTTAATGGAACATATAATATGCAGAAAAGGTGGATTGAAAGCCATGGTCTCTCATGGAATGATACAAAAGCGCAATCATCAGCCCAAGAAATGTATAGAAAAATATTTGAAATGAAATTTTTACCTCCTGGTAGAGGTTTATGGGCTATGGGTTCACCAATTACAGAAAAAAAGGGTCTTTACGCAGCTTTAAACAACTGTGCTTTCGTTAGTACAATGGATATGAAAGACAACCCAACAAAACCGTTTATATTTTTAATGGATGCTTCAATGTTGGGTGTGGGTGTGGGATTTGATTGTCGTGGTGCTAACAGTTTTATAATCAAAGGTCAATCGAAAAGAAATTGTGGTGATGAAATGTTTATTATTCCAGATTCAAGAGAAGGTTGGGTCCAATCAGTTCAGATTTTATTAGACTCTTACTTTTTAAATAAACCAAAACCACAATTTGACTATTCAAAGATTAGAAAGAAAGGTGAACCAATTAAAGGGTTTGGAGGTGTTTGCTCTGGTTACCAACCATTACAAGAACTTCATTATGACATATCAAATATTTTAGATGAATCCACTGGCAAGCCCATTTCAATTACAAATATAGTAGATCTTATGAACCTAATTGGTAAATGTGTGGTATCAGGAAGTGTTCGTCAATCAGCCGAGATTGCTTTTGGAGATCCCAATTCAACAGAATATATCAATTTAAAAAACTATAAAGCAAACCCACATCGTCAAGCTTTTGGGTGGACCAGCAACAATTCAGTTTTTGCAGAAATAGGTATGGAATACGACAAAATATGCGAACGTATTATTGAAAATGGAGAACCAGGTTTTGCCTTTTTAGAAAATATGAAGTCCTATAGTAGAATGATACCAAGCGAAAAAGATTTTAAAGACTCAAAAGCATTAGGTGGCAATCCATGTTTAGAACAAACCCTTGAGTCCTATGAATTATGTTGTCTTGTAGAAACATTTCCCAACAATCACGATTCACTTGAAGAATATCTTTCAACACTCAAATATGCTTTTTTATACAGCAAAACCGTAACATTAGGAGCCACACAATGGCCAGACACAAATAGAGTTTTGTTACGAAATAGAAGAATTGGCTGTTCAATGAGTGGTATAGCTCAATTTATTCAAGAAAAAGGACTAAACGAATTACGTGAATGGTGTTTAAAAGGATACGACTATGTTACAGAATTAGATAATATATACTCTGACTGGTTAGCAATCCCCAAATCAATAAAAAAGACTTCTATTAAACCAAGCGGTACTGTATCACTATTAGCTGGAGCAACACCAGGAATGCACTACCCAATTAGTGAATATTATATTAGAAGAATTAGAATTCATAAAGGTAGCGATCTTTTACCAGAACTCAAACATGCAGGATATCATATAGAGGAGGCTTTAGATAATGTCAATAACATGGTCGTCGAAATACCAATACACTCTGGCAAAAATATAAGAAGTGCAAATTCAATTTCAATATGGGAACAACTTTCATTAGCAGCTTTTCTTCAAAAACATTGGGCCGATAACCAAGTTAGTAGCACAGTTTCATTTAATCCAGCAACTGAAGGACCACAATTAAAACATGCTTTAAATTATTTTCAATATCAATTAAAAGGTGTCAGCTTTTTACCAAATACAGATTTAAACTCGAAAACAATTTACACTCAAATGCCCTATGAACCAATCGATGAAGAAAAATATAAAGAGTTGACCAAAAATTTAAAACCAGTAAGCTTTGAAAACTCTAGACCAACAGAACCAGAGCCAGATAAATACTGTGACTCCAATAATTGTACTGTTTTATCCCAACCAAATAATTTAAACAACTTAGAATAAAAAAATAAAATTTAAAATTATTTAAAACAATTATTTTTATAGTTAAAAAAAAAACATTATAATTTAAATTAATATATATCTATATATTTTAATTTTTTTTTTTCTTTTTTATTTATTGTAATAATTTATGATAGTATTGAAATATGTTGTTGATTTATATTTTGATGAGTTGTGTGGGTTGGATGAACAAATGGTTTTGGTAAATTTGATGAGGTTGAATTTTGGTTTGGTTTCATGCATTGACATGGTGATGATAATTGTTGACCGCAATCGCAATAGAAATGACCGTATTTTCTTACACCAATATCATGACCGGCATGGCATTTTTTAGCACATTCTTCACAAACAGCAATATCACTTCTATTATACTTTTTCTCTGAACATGTTCTACACTCGTACCAGTATTGTGCGTGATAATATTCACGTGTAAAAGATAAAGTACACATTCCCTCTTGTAATGCATTTTCGACCAAAAAGGAGATTGGTTCTAAATCTTTATTTGATTTCTTTGTATTATACATCATAATTTCTCTACCTTGTCTCATTATATATTGTTGATTACCAGCAGATCCATTACTATGGAAGGTATTTGTTAATTCGTAACCAATTGGTTTTGAATCCATATAGTATGCTAAACCACCTTCATAGTTTTTATTTATATTATTTCCTTCAAAACATAAAGCTTTTGCACCTGAAACAATTTCAACACCAACTTCACCATTATTTGTAATTTCATTACCCTATATAAAAAAATTAATATCATAATATACATTTTAGCTATAATATATTCTATTAAAAACTTACCTTAATATTAACAATTGCGTAATCTGAAACATAAATACCTGAGCATCTATTTTGAACAATTTTATTATTACAAATTGTAGCATTTGCTCTTGAATAAACCTGCATACCAGCATTTTTATTACCATAAATATAATTATTTGAAACTATACCCATACCTTCTCTATAAATATGAATACCAACTCTTTTATTTTCACAAATATGATTTTCAGTTATAATTGGGTTTGCACGAATAACTAAACGGACACCATCGCCTTGATTGTGGTGAATTGTATTATGTGAAATTTGAGGGTTTGATTTTGAAATTCTAATACCATCGAGCTTTTGGCCAAAGATTTGGTTATATTCATAAATACCTTTACCATCTTAATGAATATAAATACCATCTTCTAAATTATTACAGATTTTATTATTAGAGACCACTGGTGAAGCGCCGCCCCAACAACTTATACCATCACTTTCATTTTCTTCGATTATATTTTCTGAGATGATTGCAGTTGCATTAGTATGAACATGGATACCGTATCCTTTGTTCTTAAAGATTCTATTGAGTTTAATTGTAGGTTTTGATGTTGAATATACTACTTCAATGGAGCCATAACGATTACGAGTAAAATGATTACCAATGATTGTACCTTCACCACCAAAAATTGCAATACCAGCTTCTTTACAATCGTGAATAAAATTATTTGCGATCCAGGGTGATGCACTTCTACCAATTTTAACGGCTGATAATGTTGAATTTGTAATGTCGCATTTGCTTATACTAAAGCTACCCTTTTCAATATCAATACAAAACCAGTGACCGTGTTGACGCATAGCTACATTGGTGATAGAACCATAAGGTGCAGAAATTGAAACAGTATTGCCTGTTGATGATTCAATTACAACAGAACCCAATTCTCCCTCTCCCATAATATCTACTGGTTTATCGATTGATATATTTTCTTGATAAACACCTTGAGCCAATAACATAATTTCTCTTTTGTTTTCAGTTAAATGTGAAAGAGCCTCTGAAATTGTATCAAAGTCTTTACGATGCTTATAAATGGCTACAGGTTGATTTAAATCGGTTCCAGGTGGTAAAATAATAACCTTCTTTCTGTCACTCTTTAGTAACGACTCCCATAAGAATCTATCATTTGAAAGTCTGTAGAAAAGGTGGCATGTTTCGGATAGTGATACTAATGTTTTAAAATCTAGGAAATGAAATATTAAAATCCAATGCTCGTCCGATAAACCATTGGAGTTATTTATAAGTTGTAATGAACTACCCCCGGTGCTATTGCTACCACAAGAGGTGCTAATACCACTACAACCAGGTGAATTATGAGATGATGCTGATGATGATGCTCCAGATGTTAAATTTGATAACTGCATTGCATCTATTAAATTTTCTGTTGCAGTTTTATAATCAAGTGTTTTATCTAATGTTGAATCACCATCATTTGAGGATGATGTTAAATTATTGTTATTGTTATTATTGTTACTACTATTATTATTATTACTATTACCAATCATTTCTTGTGTTTCTTCGGCTGTAAAATAACCCATTTTCATTTTATTATATTTTTGTTGTTGTTGGTGATGATTATTTCTTGAAGAAATTGATTTTTTTCTTTTTTTAATATTACAAATATTATTTAAATCTATATTAATATTATTAATATCTTGAAATAATTGATCCTCTTCTTCCTCTTCTTCTTCTTCTTCCTCTTCTACTTGTTGTTGTTGTTGTTGATTTTGATGTTGTTGGTGATGATAATCTTTGAAATTTTCTTCAATTGATTCGATATCGCTATCTCTATCGTCGTCTTTTAATAAGTATGAGTTGGGGAGTTCTTGTTGGTCAAATTTAATTTTTTTACTTATTTTTTTTTTAATAATTATATATTATATGTATATAATATATAAATAAAACTATTAAAAAAAGAAAATTTTAAAAATAATTTCTATAATACAGGATAAAATAAAAAATTAAAATATATAAATAAAAATCTAACTATTTATCAAAATAATAAAAAAAAAAAAATAAAAAAAAAAAAAAAAAAAAAAACTTTGGTTTATAACCGATAAACACAATTAATAAAAAATATTTTTACAAAATAGAACTAATATTAAATATTATTTTATACTAGTTTTTTGGAATTTATATTTTTGTTAAAAAAAAAAAATAAAAATAAAAACAAAAAATTTATAATATGAAATTTCTAGATATAAATAAATAAATAAACAACAAAAAAGTATAACACTATATTACTATTATTATTGTTTTTATTTATATATTAGATCTTTGTGTGCATTTATAAAAAAAAAAATAAAAATAATAAAAAAATAAAAAAAAAAATGATATTTTAGTTTTTTTTAAATTATTTTAAAATTTGATAAACAGACAGTAAAAAAATAAAATTATATTATATTATATTATTTAATATTACTATTGTTTATTTATATGAGTGTATTATTGTAATTAATTAAAAACAATAGTGTACTGTACTTATAAAATTTAGATACACACAGTAAGAGAATACGTTTTTAAAACAAATTTTAAAAAAAAAAAAAAAATTTTATTATTGTGGAGGAGTGGAATGTGCATGTATTTGTGTGTGGTTTAATGATATTATATTGTGTTGATTTTATAAACAAAACATGGTTTGAAGCTTGTGGTGGTTATTTGATTTTTTTTTTAAAATAAATTTATTTAAAATTTTAAAAAAAAAAATGAAAAATTAAAAAAAATAATGAAAAATTAAAATTAAAAAAAAATAAAATAAAATAATAATTATATTATCGCTTTGTTATTTTAATCATTCTGGTTTGAGTTTATTTTTGGACTTTCACATATCACTTATTAAAAAGCCTATTCCACATTTTAAAAAATAAAGTTGATCTATTTTCCAATTTATTAAAACTCTATAACTGACATTGTTTTTAATTGGATTTTTTTTTTTTTTTTGATGGCGGATATTTAATTTTGGGTGTGGATGCATGTGTGGATAGTGTGGGTGAGTGTGAGTTTTTTATATAAAATTAAAAACCGAGAGGGAATATCAAAAAAAAAAAAAAAAAAAAATAGAAAAAAAATAAATAAAAAAAAAAAAACAACCAATAAAAGCTATACAACACAATGGATAATATAAAATTTTAGAAATTTACTAATACTTACAAATTTATTGTTTTAAATATTATATTTATAACTATTATCTAAAATTTCTTTTTATTATTATTTTTGTTGTTATTATTATTATTATTTTTATTGTTGTAATACTATTTTTGAATTATTACAAAAAAAAAAAATTTGATATATAATTTTTTTTATCTATTATTTATTTGAATATATTATATAATTAAAAATAGAATCTATAATTTTCCTTTTTTTTTTTCTATAAAAAAAGATTAATTATTAGTTTAATTTAAATTTAAAAAAAATATTTCTTTCTACTTTTTTTTTTTTTTTTTTTTAAAAAAAATAAATAAAAATACAATAATATACAAAAGTAAGTAGGAAGAGTATTTATTTCAATTATATTTACTTGTGTGTAATAGTTGAAAAATCAAAAAAAAAAAAAAAGCAATAACAATGGAAAAAAAAAAAAAAATTAAAAAAAAAAAAAAAAAAAAAAAAAAAAAAAAACCAATATTCAAAAACCATAGTCCTAACGCTCAAACGATTTTCCAAATCTGGACTGTTGGATTAAAAATTGTATATAATAATAATAAAAAAAAACTATTTATTATTATTATTATTTTTTTTTTAAAGATCCTCACATAAATAATGAAAAAAGAAAAAAAGCTATCTTAACAAAAAACTTCTAAAGTTTTAAATTATTTTTCAATAAATAAAAAAAATTTTAATTTAAAAAAAAAAAAAAGAAAAGATTTAAATTAAATTTAAAAAATTAAAATAAAAAATAAAAAATAATTAAAAAACTTTAATATCTTTTAAATTAATAGATTAGAAAAAAAATCAAATAACTAAAAAGAGAGGCGCGTTTTTTCATATATTGAATTATTTTTTTCAACAAACCACAAAATATAAATAAATAAAAAAAATAATAAATTTAACTATAAAGAAAAAGAAAATAAAGAAATTAATCTGATAAAAAAAAAAGGTTTTAAATTACAATAAAAAAATAAATTAAAAAAACTATTATTTTTTGATTATTCTTAAAATAAATTATTATAAATATTTATTAATTATAAAAACTTTAATATTACTATAAATTAAAAAGAGTTTTAGAGTTATTTTATATATGTGGGAATAAACCAATCCCTTTTTTAAAATTTTTTTTTATTTTTTTTTTTTTTTTTTGTAGTCTTTTAAAAAACTAAAAAAATAAATAAGTTTATTATTATTATTTGATACTGATATTATTTTATGATATTGAACTAAAAAAAAAAAAAAAAAAAAACATTATTTATTATTATTTATTTATTATTATTATTATTATTACTATTACTATTATTTTATTCATTTAATTTCATTTGGGATAATAAATCTTTACAAATACTTTTATATCTCCAAGATGAACCACCTATTCTTTTGAATTTTAAACCATTAACCGATAATCTTGGTAAACGACAAACCTCGATTGAGAATCTTACACCCTCGGTTTCACACTCTATAAGATATGGAGCTTTTTGTGTGTGCGGTATACAAAAAGTATCGATAGTGTGTAAAACTATTTGCATTAATTCTGGTGCATCTTTCATTGTTGTGGTATTTACACCAAATACAAATCTAACTATTCTTGGTTCTTGTGATTGGTGTCGTGGAGTTGATGTTGAAGTTATTAATGGACTATTACCAATACTTGTGCCATTTTCATCAATAGTTCTGGGTGTATTACTGGTACTAATACTATTATTATTATTATTACTATTATGAACTGATTTATCATCACTTCTTTTCAATATGTTTTTAAATGATGATAAAAAAGAGTGAACCGGCGATTTCTGTTTTTGTTTTAAAGAGAATGCTGAATTTGATGGTGTGAGGGTTTTACCATCAGGCTGGTTATTTTGACTTTTATAATTATTATTTGAATAGTCTTCAAAAATTACCCAATCATCTTCCAATTTTCTTTGTCTTTGACTTTGATCAGCAATACTACTACTATTACTTCTTACTCTTCTATTACTATTGTTATTACTATTATTGTTATTCATACCACTACCTAACTGTTGTGGTGGTTGGTTTCTTGGTGACAAAGATGAAGCAGTAGCTCTTCTTTGAATTAAATTATTATTATTGTTTAATGAGAATGGTTGAATTGATGCAGATGGTGGTGAATTAGACTCTGTTATTGGTGAAGTTGAATTTATACTTGAATTACTTGACATAAAATCTCTTTCTTTTAGTTTTTCTCTTAATGATAATGGTGCTGCATTTGAAAGACATAATGGTGAAGGATTAACTGAGCTTGAAGCTGAACTAGCAATTGATGATTGAATATTACTACTAGTTGGTGTATCATTTGATGTAGGTATATTTGTTGTAACGATAATTGGTGATGGTTGTTGTTGTTGTTGTTGCTGTTGCTGTTGTTGATGTTGATGTTTTTGGTAATGTTGTTGTACAGATGATTGTTGATAACTTTGTCTTTGTTGATTATTTACAGCGGTATGTTTTGGACTATCAACAGTATTACTTCTTTTATGATGTCTTTTATATTTTATTAGTGGACTATTTTCACCTACATGTGCAGGAATCGGTAAAGTTTCTGAATAAAATTTCTCCATTTTTCTTGCATGTTCAGTTTGATTTTGCTGACTCTCTCTTAATTTTTTACCTTGTAATAAAAAATAAGTTGCTGCTGCATCATTATATTTATTCTGTCTAATACTATTACAAAGTTCTTCTCTATCAAAACCTAAATTAACCAATTCATTTATAATCTCTTCATCAAGATTTTCTTGCTGTGGTGATAATGGATTTGATAATATTTCATTTTTACTATTATTACAAGATTGTTGTAGTTGTTGTTGTTTTTCATTTAATGCTATTGATGATAAAATTGATGATTTTGTTGAAGATAGCCAAGGATGATTAATAATTTCCTCCATTGTTGCTCTTTTATCTGGATCGACAATTAACATACGCGATATTAATGATCTGCATTCTGGTGTTAAATAAGATGGTATTGTATAATCGGCAGCTAAAATCTTTTGAAATAATTCAACATAGTTGTCACCATCAAATGGTAAATAACCAGTAACCAAAACAAACAAAACGACACCCATACTCCAAACATCAACAGATGGTCCATGATATTCTTTTCTGAGGATTAATTCTGGTGAAGCATATGTTGGTGAACCACAGAATGTTTTTAAATATGAACCTGGAGTGAATACATTTGATAGCCCAAAATCTATAATTTTAATTTGTCTATTTGAATCAAGTAAAAGATTCTCTGGTTTTAAATCCCTGTGAACTGCTTTCTTGCTATGACAATAATGAATAGCCGATACAATTTGAGTAAAAAATGTTCTTGCCTGTGTCTCTGTTAATACACCATGTGCAATCATGAAATCCATTACTTCACCCTCTCCTGCATACTCCATAATTAAATATAATGCCCTAGATGTTTCTATAACTTCATATAATCTAATAATATTTGGGTGATGTAAAAGCTTCATAATTCTAACCTCTCTTTGTACCATTTTAAGAGTTTCTTGGTCCAATTTTCCTTTATTAATAATTTTAATTGCAACCTTTTTAAATTATAAAAAAAATTAATAATTTAGAACCTGTGAATGTGGCATTTGATATTTTGTATTTTATGATATTTTACCTTTTCATTTGGGATTTTTTTATGATAACCTAATTTAACTTTACCAAATTGACCCCTACCAATTGTTTTAATAACCAAATAATTACCAATTGTACCCTGTGGTGTGATATTTAAATTTGATCCACTAGATGAACCTAATGAAGATGATATTGAAACTGATAATTGACTTGGTGAAATATTTGATATCTTTGCTAATTCATCATTTTTATCCTCTCTTTTAAGTCTTTCTAAAACATTGGCCTCGTTACTTTCAACCTGTTGCTCCTGCTCCATATGTTTATGATTCTTTAACACTGGTGTATCAAAATTTATAAAGTGATTTTCTTCATCCTTTTCTTTTAATGTTTCCATTTTTTATAGTTATATAATTATTCTATTATTATAAATTTATTACTATTATCTATTTATCTATAACTATTATTATTAATATTATTAATATTATTAATATTACTATACTGTTATTTGGTTTATTTATGTTTATTTCATTGGAATCCCAATTGCTATAACAATATTGATAAATATTTAATAAATATTATTTGTTTTTTGTTGTTTTTTGTGTTGTTGTTGATAAATATCTTTTAGGAAAATTTTTAAAAATTGGAAAATATAAAAAAAAGAAAAAAAAAGAATTTACTCTTTTTTTCTTTTTTTGTTTTTATTATTTTTTTTTATTTATTTTTAAAAATAAATTCTTTTAAGATTTATACTATTATACTAATTTAGCTTGTCTAAAATAAAAATAATAAAAAAAAAAAATAATAATAAATAAAAATTAAAAAAAATAGAAAAAATTAAAAAAAAACAAAAATAATTATTTTAAAAAAAAAAAATGAAAAAACTAAAAAAAATTTTTTTTTAGAGTTTTAGATTATTATTAGTTTTATAAAAATATATATTATTGTTATTATTATTTATATTATTATTTAGCAAATGGAATACAAGACCAATCAATCATAAAAAAAATAAAGTAATATACAATTTAAAATATATATATTTGAAACAAAAAAAAAAAAAAAAAAAAAAAAAAAAAAAATTTTATTTATTTTATTTAAAATTTAAAAAAAAAAAAAAATTTTTAATTTAAAAAAAGAAACCCCCCAACATTGGGAAATTATTTTTTTTGTTTTTTTTTAAATTTAAACCCCCCCCAACCCCCCACCCCCCCCTTCCTTAAAAAAAAAAAAAAAAAAAAAATTTTTTCTTTTGGAAAAACAAACCTTTTTAAAATTTTTAAAACCATTAAAAAAAAATTTTTTAAAAAAATAAAAAAAAATTAAATTAAAAATTAATTGAAATTGGAAAAAAAAAAAAAAAAAAA